TGAGTACTTATGACAACCTATATTTGCTTGATACAATTGCTTCTTATAATGAATCCTTGCATGTGGAATGACGTGGTACTAAGCGTAAATTAAATAAGGAAAATTCGGGGACATTATGGCATAAGCGCTTGGGTCATATTTCAAAAGGTAGAGTTGAGCGTCTTGTGTCTGATGGCATTTTGGATTCCCTTGATTTTTCAGACTTCGACGTATGTGTTGAATGTATCAAGGGAAAACAGACCAAAGTTAAGAGATTAGGTGCCAACAGATCTTCGGATGTCTTAGAATTGATACATACGGATATTTGTGGGCCATTCCCTACGGAATCCTGGAATGGTCAACAATATTTTATATCATTCATACCTATTCATGAAAAATCTGAGTCTCTGGATATGTTCAAAGCCTATAAAGCTGAAGTTGAGAATAAACTCAACAGAAGAATTAAAACCGTTAGATCTGATCGTGGTGGTGAGTACTACGGTAGATATGATGGTTCAGGTGAATAATGTCTAGGACCATTTGCTAGATACCTAGAGGAATATGGTATCGTCCCACAGTACACTATACCAGGTTCACCTAGCATGAATGGTGTAGCTGAAAGACGAAACAGGACTCTTAAGGATATGGTAAGAAGTATGATTGCTCATTCTTCTTTACCAGAGTCACTCTGGGGAGAAGCACTTAAGACAGCAGCTTACATTCTAAACAGAGTTCCAAGTAAAGCAGTTGCTAAAACACCTTATGAGCTTTGGACTGGTCGAAAGCCCAGTTTAAAGCACTTACATATTTGGGGATGTCCAGCTGAGGCAAGGCCTTATAGGCCAAATGAAAAGAAATTGGACTCCAAAACAGTTAGCAGCTACTTTATTGGGTACTCTGAACGCTCTAGGGGCTATAAGTTTTATGATCCCACACTAAGGAATATTTTTGAGACGGGAACAGCAACATTCTTTGAGGATGTTGAGTTTGGGGGGAGAAATAAGGTTAGAGACATTGCTTTTGAGGAGGAATTGGCTTCAGACTCAATCCATTCAGTTTTGTTGCTCATTATGATCTTGAGTTACATCAGATGGATGTTAAGACTGCATTTCTCAATGGAGACATTGATGAGATGATTTATATGGTGCAACCAGAAAACTTTGTGTCAGGAGACCCAAAGAATATGGTTTGCAAATTAAGGAAATCCATCTATGGACTCAAGCAAGCTCCTCGTCAATGGTATCATAAGTTTCAACAAATAGTTATCTCGTTCGGTTTTGAGATGAACATTGTTGATGACTGTGTATATCACAAGTTCAGTGGGAGTAAGTATATTTTTCTGGTTCTGTATGTGGATGACATCTTGCTTGCCACTAATGATATAGGCATGTTGCACGAAACCAAGAGATTTCTATCAAAGAATTTTGAGATGAAAGATCTTGGGGACGCCTCTTTTATATTAGGGATCCAGATACATCGAGATCGCTCTCGGGGTATTCTTGGATTATCACAAAAGAGCTATATCGATAAGGTACTTAAAAGGTTTGGCATGCAAGACTGCAGACCAGGAGACACCCCTGTTGCTAAAGGAGACAAGTTTAGTCTCAATCAGTGCCCTAAAGGTAACCTTGAAATTCAGGAAATACAGAAGATTCCTTATGTTTCGGCTGTAGGAAGTCTAATGTATGCTCAGGTATGTACGCGTCCGGATATTGCGTACATTATCGGGATGTTAGGCAGATACTTGAGCAACCCTGGTATGGATCATTGGATAGCAGTCAAAAGGGTTATGAGGTATCTTCAGAAAACAAAAGATTAAATGCTCACATACAGAAAATCAGAACAGTTAGAGGTCATTGGGTATTCAGACTCTGATTTTGCTGGATACACTAGTAGCTTCCTCCACTATGGCAGCAGAATTTGTAGCTTGCTATGAGGCATCCAATCAGGGAATATGGCTGCGAAATTTTGTCACGGGACTGCGCATTTTGGAAAATGTTGAAAGACCACTAAGGTTATATTGTGACAATAAATCTGCAGTAATGTATTCCAATAACAACAGGAGCTCAACTAAGTCAAAACATATTGACATTAAGTTCCTGGTTGTGAAAGAAAGGGTACAGAGTGGACAGATATCCATAGAGCACATTGGGACAAACTCCATGATAGCTGATCCTCTTACTAAGGGATTGCCACCTAAGGTCTTTCATGAGCATACTGCTCATATGGGTGTGGTATTATTTGAGGATATTATGTTTTAGTGGGAGTTTGTATTTATGGTGCTTTATGTTTGGTTGTATTGTCTGATCAGAATAAAGTATTCAGTTAAGACACTCTATTACATTATGTTTGGTTTTTGACCTCACTAAAGGAGGACCAGTTGAAAATAGACATGTACTGATCACATTGCATGTAATTTTCATGCTGCACATCCATGATTGATCTATGTCGTTTGATTGTATTGGTATATGTGACCATTGATGGGTCGAGTCACGATAAATGTGACGAAGGCCGCTTTGATCCTTTATTGATATAGTCAATGGACGAGATTGTTCGGAAATACCTTTTTTCAGTGATAGCAATTTTGAGCTCATAAGGTTATACACAATTTAAGGAATCATATGGTGCCCAAGTGGGAGATTGTTGGATTTAATCTAATAAATCTAATTGTGGGCACATATGATTAATCAATGTGTATTGCTATCTTTCAGGATAACCCACTAAAGTGATCAATTAATTTGGGTTAATTGGGTATTTAAATAAGTCATGGGGTTATATGTGCAGATACCAGGTTGTAATTGTGATTTGTTGAGGGGACAAATTGTAAATATACAACATCTATAAATAAGGGGTTATGGTCCCTAATCTAGGGTTTCATTCTCTAATTCTCTTCACCCCCATCTAGAGAGAAATTCGGCTATAGAGAAAAACCCTAAGGTTAGAAGATCCAAAACTCATCTCAGGTTTCATCTATGGATTCAGGTATAAGCTTCCGCTTTTTTGATTCTTGTTAATCTCTTCGAATTAATCATGGCTTTATGGTTTTAGATCTCAAGTTCTTCATTAGATCTAACAAACAAACCTCACACTCATCTACTTGTATAAATATATGTGCATACTCAATATTCAATTCAAGTGAAATTTACCCAAGATTCTCTCTCTCTTACTTTAACAATTGATGTTATATTTTAGTCACATTTAACACCTAGATTAGATATCCGTATTCCTTAATGAACTAGCATTCTCAAATTTCAGATATTGCCTTCACCCATCCTTTATCAGTCTATAATTTAATAAACAAAACGACATAAAGAAAATTTAAAAAAAATAGAAATGACACCCATAAATCTACAGAACTACTTGAGATTGGATTATCCTTTATATTGACGGGAGCATATTAGTTATTTTAAGCCCCTGAGAACAGCATATTTTACATACAATTTCTTACAAGAATCTCATAAAATTTTAGAAAGATCGAGAAATCACAAATATACATGTACACTTATGCACGCATAAGTACTGGTGACCAATATAGAACCACGTACTGTTTTATTTGTTCTTGCCCATTATAATGAATATTCTCTCGTTCACAGAAGTTCCTTAGTGGGATTCTGATACATAAATACTTCAACGAACAAGAGCAGCTCAATTCCCGCCCGATCTCTTTCTACGCCTCCCTGTCAATGACATCAAATAAAAACTTTGAACGGTTCCTTTAAATTATTTTCAAACTATCGAACAAAATCTATTGAATATTGATAATGTTAAGATAGTATACCGGTCAAATCTCATAAATTTTTTTTACTCCCCGAATTAGTATTTCTCATTCATCAGCTAGTGTTATTAATCATTAACTTCTTTTTGAACTTGACATTTTCTTATGTTGCTGATTCCTATCCTAGTATCAATCGGGCAACTTAAGCAAAGGAAGGCAGTATACCACCTGATCATCAAAATTAACACCTAAATTCTTCTCATAGAAATGATTAACCTGGCAAAACTCCAGACGTCAAAACAAACCCAAAGACCATCATATGATAATAATGACGTAAAATTTTAGCTAAGTTTTTCCACAACAAGTATATGGCAATGTCATGTATCATCAAGTTAAAAGTTAGTGTGATGCTACCCCAAGTCCTTATGTACTGAGGATATCCCAAGCGAAGAAAATGTAGAATAATATGATATCGAGGATCTTACCACTAGAGCCCTTGATCCAAAGAGCCTCAGAGTCGATGGTGGAGAGGTTTTCATCATCAAGCCTTTTCCATGTCTTAATAGACTTCACTCCTCCCCATTCACCGTTGATCGTCTTCTCCAAATTCACAGATACCACTCGTGCTCTCCTCGACCACCCAGCCTTCCCATAAGCATGGTAGCCAAATCCACCGGCATAGCAGAGGTTAACGCCAGTAAGTTTCCCACAAAAATCATTCAAGTGATCGTGACCGATAAATACAGCTTTCGTGTCTCCGGACTCTACTATTGTTGTGAAGAAGCCTGAGTTAATGGATGGTGAGCTTATCCCTTCTTGCTTCACTCCTGTAAAATTTGATGAATCGAAACTGCTGAATTCTGGTAATGGGATGTGGAAGTACGTAAGTGCTGGCGCTGAATCTTTTTGTGGGTTCGGTTTGCTTTTGTATTCTTTCTGCAACGAAGAGTGAAAATTTTCGGAAATCAGAGCACAGCAAGATATTTTGATAAATAGACATTAAAGATTCTTGAGAGTTTGAACCATCCAAATTGTTAGATTATAAACTTTTGCTCATCGATCCTCGCCACAACTTCAGAATTTGGTACACTGGAAGTCAGTTTAATACCAATAACTCGCTTAAGTGAGATTACAATTTCTGAGATTACAATTCCTATTAAAAAAAATTTAATCTTCCCATGTCCTTCAATGTTTTTCCTTAGTTTAGAAGTGTGTTGATAGTTGTTTCTGTTAAGATATTTTTTATTAAGTGGGTCCCACCTTTTTGCATTCATCTTTGGCTGCAGCCGCAAAGAAGGAAAAATGAAAAGTAAGGTGGGTCCCACGCTTTTTTAAGAAAAACGTGGGCTGCTGAACGAAGAAAATTTTGCGCGTGGGCCCCACATGCATAGTAAAATATATTATTTTACTATGCATGTGGGGCCCACGCGCAAAATTTTCTTCGTTCAGCAGCCCACGTTTTTCTTAAAAAAGCGTGGGACCCGTTTTTCTTAAAAAGCGTGGGACCCACCTTACTTTTCATTTTTCCTTCTTTGCGGCTGCAGCCAAAGATGAATGCAAAAAGGTGGGACCCACTTAATAAAAAATATCTTAACAATCCCCCACAAATTTTTTTTAATTTTTTAAACTAATGTCGTGTAACGGTGCCGATGTTTCAATCGTTGTGCGTAAGGAAGATGTCGGAAAATTCATTCCAAAAACAGCAATCAATATATACAGATATATATTGTAGAATAGCTAGTGCTAGTAGGAACAGTGCCTAGACCGAGAAGGTCTTATAGATCGAGGAGATATTTGCCTGATAGATCGAGGAGATCTTTTGCCTGATAGATCGAGGAGATCTTTACCTTATAGATCGAGGAGATCTTGACAGTACTGGGTCGGTGCACACCAGAGTACTGGACTGCTGTTCCTGGAAGCAATTTGACCTTGGGATCCTTGCACCGGAGTAGGCCAAATAATACTTTAAGCACAGCGTTTTACAAACGTACAGCAGCTGAGTTGAAAAAATTTAAATTACTGTACTTCAGCTTTCTTTTAGTTATTAGCTGCCATAAATCTGTATTATTCCAGTTTTAAATACAGGCGCCAACAATCTTAAAGCATTATTTCGATCTACCATGGATCCTGCGAGGACTCTTGGAGTGGACTGTCTTAAGTTAGAAAATTTTGACGGATCCAACTTCAACGCATGGCGTCGGAAAGTGATCTTCGGGATGCAACTCCTGAAAATCTACTATGTGGTTTCTGAGGAGAAACCTGACTCTGAAGAAGACTCTGAAGCTGAAGCCTCTTGGGCTAAAGATGATCACTTCTGCAGGAGTTATCTTCTTAACTGCCTAGCCGATCATCTGGCAGATGCTTACACCAACAAGCCCTCTGCAAAGGAAATATAGAATGCTCTGGAAGACCAGTACAAGGATGAGGAGAAGCTGTCCAAATCTCACCTTATTGACAAGTTTTTGGACTTGAAGTTCGAAGATGATACTGAGGTTTTGCCTCAAGTCAAAGAGCTTGAAAAGCTTGTTATGAAGCTGAAGGATGAAAAAATTAGTCTTTGTCAAACCTTCATCTCTGGTGCAATTGTCAACAAGCTTCCTCCATCTTGGATGTCATTCTCCACTGACATTCAGAGAAGGAAAAGACAGGTGACTCTGTCTGATTTGAAGAGGTTCATTCGGATCGAGGATGAGACTCGGACTCGCACGAAGACCGAACTCATTGCTAAGCAGAAGGCGTCTGCTAACATGGTGGCTACTAACTCTGAAAAGGGTAATAATTCATCTTTCAAGAAAAAGAAGTCTTTCAACAGAAAGAAGAACCAGAACCCAAAGAACCTGAACGTTCAGAAGAAGGAGTTCAAGAGGAGCGGCAAATGCTTCAACTGTGGGAAGCAAGGACATTTTGCCAAAGACTGCAAAGCACCAAAGAAGGAAACAACACACAATGTCAATCAAGTTGATGATTGTGTGGCTATGCTCTTCCAGGTAACAACTCCAAGCAACATCTCTAGTTGGTGGTTAGATACGGGTGCTACTTGTCATGTATGGATGTGAAACATGTTCCCTCAATTGCCAAAAACTTAGTCTCTGGAAGCATGCTGTGTGATGCAGGCATGAGGCTGGATTTCCAAGGAGGAAAGGCTGTATTATCCTTCAAGAAAATGTATTTTGGCAATGCATATCGTACTGATGGCATGTATAAAATCAGTACGAGTGCACCCAATCCTGTTGTAAATGAAGTATCCTCTTCTGCTTACTCCTCTGTGTTATGGCATAATAGGCTGGGACATGTAAATTATAGAAAACTGTCCAGCATAGAGAAGTTAGGATTACTTCCAAAATGTGGGGGTAACAAACCTGAGAAGTGTGAAGTTTGCGCGCAAGCAAAGCTGACAAGGAAGCCATTTTCAAGTGTCACGAGGAGCACCAACCTGTTAGATCTGATTCATTCAGATACTTGTGACTTCAAAAGCTTCGTCACTCGTGGCGGCAAGAAGTACTTCATCACCTTCATCGACGACCATTCTCGCTTCTGCCACGTTTACCTGCTGAAATCTAAAGATGAAGCCTTCAGCAAATTTGTCGAGTTTCGGACTCGAGTGGAGAAGCAGCTTGGACTGCAGGTGAAAAGACTCAGGAGCGACAGAGGAGGAGAATACCGATCCAAGGAATCAGAAGCATACTTTAAGGAGCATGGAATCATTGCAGAAACTACTGCTCCATATTCTCCGCAATCTAACGGGATTGCAGAAAGGAAGAATCGCACATTGACCGAGATGGTGAATTCGATGTTGATCACATCTGGTCTACCTACCTGCTATTGGGGAGAGGCTTTGTTGATGGCTAACTGGATTTTGAACAGAGTACCCTACTCCAAAACTGATAATACTCCTCATCAGTTATGGTTGGGATATCCAGATTCTTTGGATAATCTCAAAGTGTGGGGGTGTCTTGCATATGTTCGAATACCAGATATCAGAAGGCCTAAGCTCGGACCAAAGGCGAACAAATGTGTATTTCTTGGCTTTGCTGGAGATAACAATGCATGCAGGTTCCTGGACATTGGAACCAACTCCATCATTGAAGCTCGGGATGCAAAATTCTTTGAGGATAAGTTTATCAAACATAAAGGCTTATTGCTCAAAGATGTAGCAGAAAATGCTAGTACATCAGATGCACAAGAGGAGCCAGTCAATGATGAAGGAGTTATCGAACCATCTTCCAAGCGCGTCAGAAGATAGAAAGATTTTGGAGATGACTTCATCACCTATAATGTGGAAGGAGATCCACAGACTTTTCAAGAAGCAATGCAGTCAACAGACGTTCTTCTGTGGAAAGAACCTATAGATGATGAGATGGATTCATTGATCCAAAATCACACTTGGGAGCTGGTGGATGTACCTGAAGGTGCAAGGCCTATCAGTTGCAAGTGGATCTTCAAGAAGAAGATTCGTCCTGATGGTACTATTGAAAAGTACAAAGCAAGACTGGTGGCGAAAGGATTCTCTCAGAAAGAAGATATAGATTTCTTTGATATCTATGCACCGGTTTGCAGGATCACTACCATCAGAGTGCTTATCGCATGGGCAGCGATTAAAAGGTTCGTCATACATCAGATGGATGTGAAGACTGCCTTTCTCAATGGAGATCTCCCAGAAGAGATCTACATGGAGAAATCAGAAGGACTTGATGCTCCACTTGGTAAGGTTTGTAAACTTGTTAAGTCATTATATGGACTTAAACAGGCACCAAAACTCTGACATGAGAAGTTCGATGGGGTTGTTCGCAACAATGGGTATCAAGTCAGTGAATCTGACAAGTGCCTATACATCAAGGTCGATGAAAGAAAGGTGGTGGTTATTTGCCTTTATGTGGATGATATGCTCATCATCGGGAGTGATTTGGAGATAGTAACATCTACCAAGAAATTGCATGCTAAGAAAGTATGGCTACTACGACCTGCCAGAACTGTCAGTGCCGTATGATTACAACAAGAAGCTTCGACCAAACACTGGAAAACCAGTAGATCAGCTAAGGTACTCAAAGATCATTGGGAGTCTTATGTACGCGATGAGCTGCACAAGGCCAGATATAGCATTCGTTGTAGGAATGCTTAGTAGGTTCACAAGTAATCCTGGAAAGCTTCATTGGGATGTTGTCCAGAGATTGATGAGATACTTAAAAGGAACTACAGGTCTGGGCTTATTCTACACTGGATATCCGGGTGTAATCGAAGGCTATTCAGATGCGAGCTGGTGCTCAGAACCTGATGAGTGCAGATCTACTGGAGGATTTGTCTTCACTATGGGTGGAGCTGCCGTCTCTTGGAAGTCTAAGAAGCAGACCATGATTGCACAGTCATCGATGGAATCTGAATTCTTCGCACTCTGTGTTGCAGGAGATGAAGCTGAGTGGCTCAGTTGTATTCTCCGAGACCTTCCATTGACAGGATTGCAAGGCGCAATTACTATCTATTGTGATAATCAGGCGGCGAGTGCTGTGGCAGCAAACTCGTTGTTCAATGGAAAGAAGCGGACCATTCGTCTGAAACATGGCTATTTGAGAGAGCTCATTTGTCAAGGAGTCATCTCTGTGATTGACGTCCGATCTTCAGAGAATGTGGCTGATCCTTTGACTAAGGGTCTGAAAAAGGACATAGTTGAAAGGACGTCTGCTGGAATGGGTCTCAAAGTTTTGTAAGTCTTACAAATACTTACCATGTTTATTAAGTTATTAGTTCAAAGCTTATGCTACTAATAATAAAATAATTGGTTCAAAAGTCAAGTAAGATTTGTAAAGTTTGGTGAGTCTTATAAATACTTACCATTTATATCTAGTTATTAGTTCAAAGCTTATGCTACTAATGACAAGATAAATGGTTCAAAAGTCAAGTAAGATTTACAAGTGAAAGGGTTCAAGTTTTCTTGGATTAGTCGGTGTCTAAGGCAATGTTTAGGGGTTGCGTAACGCGCTCCGCAAGGAACGAGGTACTTAATTGATCTTTGATCAACCTCTAATACTATCCTTACCTGGCTGAACTACCCGAGTAAAACTTTGAACCTAGAATCCTATCATGTAAAGGGGATGGCTGTTAAGCCTTAATGAGTCCAAAGCATTTCGGATACTGGGTGTTAGATAGGAAACACACCTAAAGGACTCACCTAGAATCCTATCATTAGAAAGGGTGGCTCTTAAGCCTTAATGAGTTCAAAGCATTTCGGATGCGGGATGTTTGATAGGAAACATGCCTAAAGAACTCACCTATGCATGGGTGGAGATTTGGCCGTCTCCTATGGTATCTTGTGAAAAAATACCTAGAGCCCTAGCAGAAACCAGGACATGCACAGGGCCATAAATGTGCAAAGACAAAGGCAAAGGCAAATGCAAAAACAAGTGTGGTTCAAAGTGAAAACTACCACAAATAAGTTTGATCTTGTGTGATCGCTGGATTTTTAGACATGTGCTGGTTCAAGTCTCTGCGACACCATGCACCTATCTTTTATTCAGTTGGTCTAAAGGGGATTCAAGTCCTTGCGACATCTTCCTTACGCACAACGATTGAAACATCGGCACCGTTACACGACATTAGTTTAAAAAATTAAAAAAAATTATGGGGGATTGTTAAGATATTTTTTATTAAGTGGGTCCCACCTTTTTGCATTCATCTTTGGCTGCAGCCGCAAAGAAGGAAAAATAAAAAGTAAGGTGGGTCCCACGCTTTTTAAGAAAAACGTGGGCTGCTGAACGAATAAAATTTTGCGCGTGGGCCCCACATGCATAGTAAAATATATTATTTTATTAGTGCATAGTATTTTTCCAAACGCTATAAATAGATCTCAAATCCTTAAGGAAAATTCATTCCAAAAACAACAATCAATATATACAGATATATATTGTAGAATAGCTAGTGCTAGTAGGAATAGTGCCTAGACCGAGAAGGTCTTATAGATCGAGGAGATCTTTGCCTGATAGATCGAGGAGATCTTTTGCCTGATAGATCGAGGAGATCTTTGCCTTATAGATCGAGGAGATCTTGACAGTACTGGGTCGGTGCACACCAGAGTACTGGACTGCTGTTCCTGGAAGCAATTTGGCCTTGGGATCCTTGCACCGGAGTAGGCCAAATAATGCTTTAAGCACAGCGTTTTACAAACGCACAGCAGCTGAGTTGAAAAAATTTAAATTACTGTACTTCAGCTTTCTTTTAGTTATTAGCTGCCATATATCTGTATTATTCCAGTTTTAAATACAGGCGCCAACAGTTTCCGGGTGGCATGAGCTTAAATGCGAAAGGTGTAATGTTTGTTGTTTTTTTTCTTTCATAATGGCTTCTACCAGCTGCTTCTACCTTTCTATTAGATCATGCAAGCCACACCATTGTTCATAATTTCTTTGGGAGAAAGAAACCAGGCATCTTCATGGACTGTTGGTCTCAGCTTGATAGCAAAAGCAGTAAAAGTTCCTCAAACTCTTGACGGGTTAATATCCTCCAGAGGCAACCCATTTTGATGGGAGAAGAGTAGATGATGACAACATGATATATGGATCCTAACACAATATTTTCTTTTAGATTAGTATGAAACATATATGATAAATTTTATTTTTTACCCTCAATAAATATATAGGAGCTAAGTTCCGCTTAGTCTACAACACCATCTCTCCATATGCAACACTATTTTGCTTTTTGGTATATAAGTCATACCAATTCCTATTTCGTTTAGTACATCCCAGGTCTAAACTATCTAACCTCAACAAGACTTTATAGACTAATTTCCTTTTGAGTCATAAACATTCATAACCCAGACAAATTTGACTTTGACTCGGTATGAATATTGGATAAAAATTCTTAGCTCATACCTGTAGGCGCGATGAAGTTTGCTGGAACCAGAGCTGCTGAGATGGCTTAATCCAACCATAACCAGGAATAGAGGGAACCGTAGAGTAATCTCCACTATCGACGAAGTACAAATTGAGCACGGACTTATTTGCAAGACTCGATCCCTCAGCTCCAGCCACCTCCAAATTAAAATTCCCAAACCCATCAATATCGATTCCTACAGGGTTCAGTCTTGATAGTGTGTAGGGCATCTTCACAATGTGCCGCATCACATTTTCGCGAGAAAGAGTGCCTTCTTGATCATGGTTACCAAGAACTGCTGCCCATGGAAGTTTGAGTGAGATTGCTGGTTCGAACGCCATGTTCATTGATTTGGCTGCATCAGTTGAGTCGGCGCCATAGATATTGTCACCTGGCTCATAAGCACAACAAATGAATATTTGAATTTCTTCTGTTTTATAAAAGGGTTTTTGTATATGCGCCCCTTTAAGTCATGTGTAGTTGCAAAGTAATCCTCCAAATCTCATTATTTATAGACCTACCCCAAATCATCAACCTTGGAAAAACACCCCCAAATCAACAAATCATCAGATTTGTTGGATATAATGAAGAAAAACACTGACTATTTCGTTGATGTTTGCCGAATTCAGACTAGTGTGAAACTAACATCCTGCTCAATGAGAAGGATATTTTCTATCCTATGATGTCTCTTCTCGATTCATCACAAGCAAAACTAGTATAAATGGCCTAATGCTCCTAGTGAGATAACCAAACTGTTAAACAGGTATTGAAGAGAACTCTGATTTATTGATTGTATGTTTGGGTAGATTACAAGCTATATATATACAGAAGATTACACAATATAATATGAGCTGAACGGTAGGTAGCACTGTAGCTAGCGCGGCCATAGGGCGGTGGCAGTGTAGCCTAGGCCGGTGGTGTTGACATTAACAGCCGGAGATGATGACTTTAACAGCCCCCCGCAAAGTCACGGTGGATTAAAAACCGAGAGTTTGGATAAGAAGGAACGAAATTGAGAGATTGTTTGAGCCTTGGTAAACAAATCGGCAACTTGATCCTTAGAAACAATATATGTGAGTGTAATGTTGCCAGCAACATGCTCTTGTCGAACCACATGACAATCTACTTCAATATGTTTGGTACGCTCATGAAAAACGGGATTTGTGGAAATGGAGATGGCACTCTGATTATCACAATATAAAGTGACAGGGGAAGTAATAAAAACATCAAGATCTCGCAGAAGAGTGCAGAGCCATTTTAGCTCAACTGTGGTGTCTGCCAACGCCCTGTACTCGGACTCCGTACTAGAACGAGAGACAACGGCTTGACGCTTACTACGCCAATAGATGAGAGATGATCCCAGAAAAATACAAAAGCCAGTAGTGGAACGCCGAGTGTCCAGATCATCAGCCCATCTAGCATCAGAATATGCACGAAGAGATAAAGATGAGTCTAAAGGGAAAAATAATGACTGGGTTATAGTGCCACGTAGATATCGAAGAACCCGAATGAGAGCTGCATAGTCTGAGAGTAGCTCGCTCAAGAATGTCTGCAATGTACTTCTGCTGAGAGAGAAGATAGCCTCGGGAGGAGGAAGCAACCTCAATACCCAAGAAGTAACGAAGGGATCCAAGATCTTTCATCTCAAATTGTCTCTGAAGATGCTGCTTTAAGGAAGTAATGGCAGAAGAATCACTCCCAGTGATTATCATGTCATCAACATAAAGTAATAGAATGACTGTACCGGAGGCTGAGGACCGATAAAATAGAGCGTAGTCAGCTAGGCTCTCAATAAGACCAATAGAAAGAAGAGATTGCCGAAAACGCTCAAACCAAGCCCGAGGAGCCTGTTTGAGACCATATATAGCACGACGAAGGCGACATGCATGTCCTAGAGGAGCAGAAAAACCAGGAGGCGGCTGCATGTACACTGTCTCAGATAGATCGCCATTAAGAAAAGCATTTTTAACATCCATTTGATACAAAGGCCAATGTTTTGCAGCTGCAACAGCAATGAGAGTGCGAATGGATGTCATTTTTGCAACAGGAGCAAAAGTTTCTTCATAGTCAATGCCATACTCTTGTGAGAATCCCCGAGCTACAAGACGAGCTTTGTACCTCTCAATAGAACCGTCAGATCAAGTCTTAACCTTATAAATCCATTTGCAGCTTATCGGTTTAACACCGGAAGGCAGAGGAACAAGGTCCCAAGTATTAGTCCGACGAAAAGCCTCCAATTCTTCAGTCATTGCATGTTGCCATTCTGGATACTTAACTGCCTCAGAATATAAGTTAGGTTCATGTATAGAGTGAATAGCAGCAAGAAAAGAGGCAAATTCAGGAGAATATGTGCTAGTGACACATTGAGCATACCGAGCAGGGGGATGACGATCTCGTGGAGGATTGCGGCGAGGGGGAGGAGTCACATCGGGAGAAGCTGGCACAGATGTAGAGGGGACATCAGTAGGAGTATCTTGCTGCAAAGGAGATGTAGTAGGTGGATGTTCAGGTGGTGTGGATGAATCAAGAGCACTATCGTTTGATGTCATTGGAGTGAAGGAGGGAGTCGGTTGAGTAGACAAAGGTATAGGTACTACTGATACATGTATAGTAGTGGAAGATAATGAAGGGGGTTGAAGAAATAAGATATCTGAATCTGAAGTAGTATAATATGAAATATTCTCAAAGAAGGTCACATGACGGGCAATACGAAGCCTTCGAGTGGTAGGTTCATAACAACGATACCCCTTGTGAACAGTGCTATAGCCAAGAAAGATACATCGTGCAGTGCGTGGAGATAGTTTATCTCGTTCATGAGTTGGAAGTAGGACAAAACAGACACATCCAAAAGTGCGAAGAAGAGAATAACGAAACTGAGATTTAAAAAGTTGAAAATATGGAGAAGTGTCAGCTAATACAGAAGATGGAGTAATATTTATAAGGTAAACAACAGTCAGAAGTGCTTCTGCCCAGAGATATCGATGTACAGATGCTGATATCAGAAGAGCTCTAGTGGTATCGAGAATGTGACGATGTTTTCTCTTAGCAACACCATTTTGTTTATGAGTGTGTGGACAAGATTGTTGAGAGAGAGTGCCATGCGATTTTAAAATAGATTGCATTGCTGAGGAGATATATTCACAGGCACCATCAGAGTGAAATATCTTTATACGTTTATGAAACTGGGTGTGGATCATATTTGTAAAGTCTTTATAAATATTTAGAACATCAGAACGAGCACGCATGAGATATACCCAGGTGTAGCGAGAATAGTCATCAATAAAACTGACATAATATCGATAACCGGACAATGATGGTAATGGGGCAGGTCCCCAGATATCAGAATGAATCAAATCAAATGGGGCTAAAGAAATTTTATTACTGGATGAAAATGGTAGGGCAATTTGTTTAGCTAATCGACACCCAGTACAGTTTGATAAAGTAGAGAATTTTAAATTTCCTAATACGCCTGATTCAGATAAAAGTTTTAAGCGAGAACCAGAGATATGACCCAAGCGGCGGTGCCACAGATCAGAAACAGAGAGGCCATGACCAATGTTGGATGGAGTGGAAAGATGTAGAGACTCCAACTGATAAAGTCCATTAACTCTACGACCTGTCCCAATCTTCTGGCCAGTGTGATCCTGGACAACACAAGATTTAGCATTAAATAAGATAGTGCAACCAGAATCAGCAATTTTCCCAATGGATAAAAGTTGCATAGATAATTTGGGAATATGAAGAACAGATGATAATGTTAGATGACCGGAACTATCAGAACTTGGAGTAATATCACCTAACTGAGAGACTGCAAGGGGAGTGTCATTAGCAGTATAAATGCATAATGAAGTGGGAGCTGGTGAACAATTTGTAAGAATAGAGTTATCAAAGGTAATATGATGAGATGCACCTGAGTCGAATATCCAAGGAGTAGAAGTACCAGAATGAGCAGACAAGGCAGTAAAATCTGAACTGGAGGCAGTTCCACTTAGCCCAAGATTCTTGGTTATTAATGCAGTAATCTCTGACAACTGCTCAGAGGAGAGAGGGCTAGAAGTCTGCGGCCCTTGAGGAATAGGGCTAACATCAGCCGAAGCAGCAAATGGAGATCGAGTCTTCTCAGGTGTCGGACGGGGTGGTCTCTTACGACATTTATCAATAAGATGACCCGGCTTCTTACAATAACGACAATATAGTTGTCGATTGGAATCAGATGTGCTGTTAGAAGGCCTCCGATAGGAAGAGAATTGCTGAGGAGTAGCTAGTACAGTATTTGATGAGGGTATTGGCTGAGATGCAATAACTGGAGGGGAGAGCATCTGAAGGCGCGTCTCTTCAGATATGAACTCAGCCACGGATTCACGAAGACTGAGGAGAGAACTGTGATGAAGAATGTGTCCACGTAAGCTTTCGAACTCAGAGCGAAGGCGCATGACAAAGTGATACAACTGTTGACGGTCACGTTGTTTCTGGAATGCTATGGTAAAGTCTGGAAGCGTCTCAGGAATAGGTTCCTCCATCATCTGCAATTCCTCCCAGTAGCATGATAATAAGGAATAGAATTCTTGAACAGACCGATCACCCTGACGTGCATCCTGAAGAGCTTGGTGAAGTTGATACTCACGAGCAGCACCAGTCTGAACAAACACGCGACTGAGAGCTAGCCATTGCTCACGTGATGAAGATGCTCGGCCAAGGGAGAGCCGAATAGGAATAGCTACAGAACGCATAATATATGCCATTATTTGTTGATCAGTACGAATCCACTGAGAATAAGTGATCTGAGAGTCATCAGTAGTGGAATCACCAGAAGTGACTTCTGATATGGAGGGTGTAGATAATGAAGGCACAGTAACAGTTTTGGATGGACAACAAAAAGATCCATCAATATATCCCCATAGTGCGAAAGCTCGAAGATTATACTGCATAGTGAGAGACCATGCAATGTAATTTTCGGTATTTGCAAGTTTCACATCAAGGGGCGGAAAAGTGTAGAGTCCTTTCTTGTCCATGGGCCTTTTTTTTTTAAGATGAGCTTCTGCTTGAAATTGGCCTTTTTTTAAGATGGGCTTCTGCTTGGATGGGCTTCTGCTTGAAATTGGCCTTTTTTTTAAGATATAAAGATCCAAGAACCGTAAATCTCAAGAGCCCTGCTTGAAAACCACTAGGGCTTCGGAGCTTCTGTGAGAGAATTGAAGAGGCGGCGACGGGTCAGCGGAGCGAAGATCGAGCTCACAGGGAACAATCAAAGAGATACGAAGCCGAGGATGAGGGCAGCGATGACGACGAGTTCGATGGCGGCTGACGGGTTCGATGGCGGCCTGAATCGACGACGAGGGTAGCGTGCTACTACGACGACGAGGTTGGGAGATGACGACGGCTGGAGCTAGGGATGATTTGTGAATTGGGACTCTGATACCATGTTAAACAGGTATTGAAGAGAACTCTGATTTATTGATTGTATGTTTGGGTAGATTACAAGCTATATATATACAGAAGATTACACAATATAATATGAGCTGAACGGTAGGTAGCACTGTAGCTAGCGCGGCCATAGGGCGGTGGCATTGTAGCCTAGGCCGGTGGTGTTGACATTAACAGCCGGAGATGATGACTTTAACACAAACAACTCCAGCTCACCTTCTGGTGTACGTGTACACTTCAGACATCGTTTAATTTCAAAATCTTTGCTCAAACATTCAAACATTAGGCTAAATATCGCTTTAAATAGGCCCATGTGACTACTAAGCTAATCAATATAAAGAGAGCAAAATAATCTCATTATTCTTCCCTGATGCCTACAGAAAGTCATAGTAGCCTATAAGGATTAATTATAGCTTGATATAATTTTTTTTTTCAATTATCACAACATTGTACGATTCGATAGACAATGCAAGTCTGGTAGTTGTCAATTTTAAAGATATGCCTCGCGTACTCCGCTTTTCGAAGCAAGGTATGACGATGGAAGCTTTTGAAATAAGAAGGGTTGATTGCAAAGAAAGTCTCGTGTACTATATACTATTTATTATCTTCGAACTATTTTATTAACACTTAAATACCAAAGTTAATGCTTTTGAAAGTGCGCAGGTTTAAAATTAAATCATGTCAAGACCTTGGGTTCATGAACCCTAAAAAATTGAAGGCGAAAACTGACCGGTGAAGAGGAGGAGATCAGGCTTCTCGGCCCGAGCGAGCAGCCGATAAATGAAGGCGGTGGTGTTGAGATCGGAGCAAGTCGACACCTGGGCCTCGAGCACATCCAGACACTTGGTCTTTTTTCCGTCGGCAAAGTGCATATCGGCGACCTGCAGGATCTTGAACTCCCCATTGCTCTTCCCAAATCTCAACCCGGAGGCTACTGAAACCCCAGGGCCTGGGTTTTCTCCGCTTATATTGGGGTTGGACGTCCTCTCAACCCTGCATTCTGTAGCTGAAGGGGAGAGCAGGATCAAGAAGAGGAGGACGAGGAAAGGAGCATCATGGGTTGAGTTCAGTCCCACTTTCATTTGGGTTAGCTTGGATTTTTTTTGGGAGGGAGTTGGGTTTTGCTGGAGCTCGGTTAATTATTAACAAAGAAGAAAATGAACTGGCTATGAGGTCTGCTAAATCATTGTGGCCTTGGATTGTTTAGACTGATTGATGTGACTCCTTATGAGCAATCAAGGCTCCGAAGCCACGGAGTGTTAAAATATAAAATAATAAAAAAACAAAAAAAATCCGGCAAATAATTTTCTTCCATGATCGCGGAGTTTTGTCGTAGCCAGCCTATCAGTTTCATTAGGGGTAAACAAATTAGAATATTTCTCTGTACGTGGTTTCACGTACGCCATGGGTGTGTTTTGACAAAGATATTTGTAAAGAGACAACCTTAAAATTTCCACATGGTAATTGAAGTGCTGCCGTGTTGCATACGGAGAATTATAAGACCTTAACATACCCTGTTGAAATAAATAGTTGTCCATATCGTTGCCTATCTCGACCATATCTTCAAATAAGGAAGGCAACAGCTGGGAAATCCTTTTTGTAATCAGAGTTATTATTTTCCTTTCTTAGATAATTGTAATAGGAAACAAATCTCTCTAGTCTCCCTATAAATTCTCCTCTCTTCTCTGTAACAATATACTGAAAAAAATAATAGAAAAAGTGTGTGTAGGTGTGGAGGATGTAGGCACCAAATTGGTGCTGAACCTCGTTAAATCCTGTGTCTATTTCCTGTTTCCAGTTTCTGCACAAACACACGGACCGTACACTATTATGCACGGATCGGGAAGCACACATAGTTACGAAATTCTACATACACAAAAGACTAAAGCTGCTTGAAAGCAATCTAGCATAAGATAGTTTTTTTTTAAAAAAACAAAATTTAATATTTAATACAAAAATCAATCCAATTTATATTAAATTACAAAAGTCTATGGAATTTCGATGAGGTCAGCACGTCAGTTGAAAGTTGATCGATTTCTATAAAATCTAATAACGCAGGATTGTCAATCCCGAATAATTAGCAGTTCGGCTTGAATTGTTTTTTATTTAGAGAAATTTCCTTTAGCGGTGTTTAATGGATACATCTGAGAACAACTTAACGTCTTTTACATGTAAAAGCGATGCATAACCCTCATCAGGGTCTTCTCAATTGACAAACGGGTGTATCAAACTGTAAGACCACACCGATCTCCATCAAATTCCCCACCACACAATTCTGAAATGTTTGCTAAAGTTTAGACACGTCTCCACATTACGCGCATGATCACAAACACCCCTAAGCTATAGCTGCGTATAAATTTGGCTCCTTTCCATGCTCTTCTCATCGCATTCCTCAAGGTTTATCAAAGCTTGTAACCTCCTAAAAATTTTCCAAGTTCTCTTCGATCCTCTCGCTCGACCATGGGTGCCTGTGCGAGCGCACCCAAGACCTTGGAAGGTGATGCTCCCGTGGAGCTTCCTGTTGAAAAGGAGACCACGGTGACCGCCACCACGTCTGAGGTGGCACCAGTTGAAGAAGCTAGTGCCGCCACCGAGGTAATTAATCTATATTATTTCTTAATTACTGGAAGAAACTCATTCATCTACGGATAGTTTGTTAGTTGTTTATTTGATGGTAACGAATAAATTTTAGTATTTGACTCATAAATGAATCAAATTTAACCAGCTGTAGATTCGATTCATTTAATTGTAAATTATTTGTCCATGTTTTTTTTTTTCAGTCTTTCAACAATATTTCTATATTATATATGTACATTCGGGCTCACCAATGAGACAAGTCACTTATTTTTTTTAATTATGAGCAATATATTGTCTTTGAACATTTTTTTTCTTTGTATTTGTTAGCTTTATATTGTGTGAAATATATTTTTATTGCTCCATAATTGATATCTCTATATTGTTTTTGTATATTATAGTGCAAAATATGTGATAAATTGTTTAATTTAATTAACTAATAATCATCTGATGACACAAACAAACATGCATGAATGTGTTGATCAAATATTCAGGAATAATTATCAAACATCCAAATCTATAAGCGCATCAAATTTGAATAGTATATATATATTATATAATAATATATATATATATATATCATATATATATATAATATATATATATATATCAGAGAAATGGAGAACCTTGGTAACCAAGTTGCTTAAGCAACTTGGTAGTGATGTGGCATAATCTTGGCCCCTACATCATACCTCGAAGATATGAGCTCTCAAACACCCTTCACCAACTCCGAATGTAGATGTAGGGGCTAAGATTATGCCACAATCACTATCCAAGTTGTTTGGAGGCGCAATTTTTGGTACCAAGTTGTCTTCACATTTCTCTCTCTCTCTCTCTCTCTCTCTCTCTCTATATATATATATATATATATAATATATATATATATCTAGTATATATATATATAATAATATATATATATATGTGTCGTTTTATACCCCTAAAATGAAAATCTATTCATAATTATGATTGCAGGTCACAACACAGTCGAGTGAGAGCACAGAGGAGCACAAGGAAAACAAGGAAGAAAAACCCTTGACGGATGTTTCTAAGCCAAAGGAGGAAGCGATCACCGCAAACAAAGAAGTCGCGAAAGAGAACAAGGAGGAGGTTGTCGTCCAGAGCGAGATAGTTGAGGAGAAGCCTACAACAACCATTGAGGCCAAACCAACACAACCATAAGAGATGAACAGAAATTTTAGGCTCGTCTCAAAATGCATGTTAAAAAAAAGACAACTTTTCTCATATTGTTTTGTGACAAGTATTAATGTTGTACGTGTTCTCTACCAATTCCGAAATTTCATTCACTAACAAAAGTTTGCTCTTTATTGCACAATCCTTGTTATGATTGTGTTTTGTGTTTGAAGTTCGAAAAGGGTGGCTTTTGACAGCGTAGGTCTAGGCCGAGGTATTACAAGGCTATGGGATAGGTAACGTAAAAGCCATTAATAGAGGTTTGGTAAAAGAAAGAAAAATAGAAATATTATGTAATATATATGTATGATGCGGAGGCAACCGCTCATGCTTTTTCGAAGAAATTGGATCATGTGAAGTCAGGGCGATTCAAGAAAAGAGAGTGACTTTCAATCACATTTCGACGTGCAACTTTAACAGACCATAAATGTTGATTCCTTTGATCATTAGAATCGCTATTATTATATGCTTTCAGAAAGATCGAGAAGTGCTCTACGCCTAGAACCGCTTGGTTGTTCCAACTGACTTACATGCTCAAACGAATTCATCGGCTCAAACTCTGCATCGAAGAGGTTTGGTCTCTTCTAGTCTCTAGTTTTACGGAAAGTATTTTTAGGAAGTCTAATTCTTTTAGGAATGACAAATTTGGTACTTTAACATTGTTTTATACCCTATATAAGAGGGATGAATTTATGAGACTTTTTAGGTTGGCTTTTATATTATTTTAAGGTATCCTATCTGTTGATACCAGTTATCGAACTGGGGGTTTAGTTAGGGATTATTGTTGGGTTAGGGTCCTCAAGCTTCTTCAGATGTCTAGTTCCTCAAGCTTCTTCAGATGTCTAGTTCTAGAGCATGACTTTCTTTTCTCCCTCAGATGATTGATGGTGGAGCCTGCAATTCTCTTCTGCACATGAAAAACTCATGAGAGGTCAGAGTTAAGTTCTCTGATTGTTCCTCTGACGATCAAGTCAGTGTTTGAGCTTGAGTGAGAAAATATATGATAAGTGATAGGATAATTCAGAGTGGCCTAGAGCCTAAGAAGCCACCTCATGCAGCGTAGCTTCTTTTTTTTAGTAGATCAGAAGCGCAGAGGGGTAACGTTGGCCAAGTATAGACAGACAGTTGACTTAACAGATATCTCTATAGGTGTTGACTGTTGAAGTATGTGAATCATCCTTGATTGGATGTGAGGATGATCGAGAGCAACTCGATATTAGCTAAAATCTACTGCCAAAATGCTAGCACTAGTTGTTTTTTGCCTTAGATTTTTTTTATTTAAAGCACTAATATTTCTTCACACTAGTCCATGTGGTACTAAAGTGGGGGTGTCATAATCACTCCACCTTACAAAGACGACATTCTCGTCATCACGATATGACAATTGGCGCATCCCAGTGTCACTTGCTAGGTAATGTGGACTCTAGAGGTGGCTCCTAAGGGCTCTAGAGGTGGCTCCCACCGTATCCACGCGGTGTAACACTTAGTCCCGTATAGTACTTATCTCAACACTTCTGGTTGGCTAACTGCTCTAATACCATTTATTACGCCTCGAGCCCACGGGCCCATTGGCGCGTGCAAACCGTGAGACCCACTGAGAGCAACTCAATGTTGGCTAAAATCCACTGTCACAATGCTAGCACTAGTTGTTTTTGGGCCTTAGGATTTTCTCTATTTAAACCAATAATATTTCTTCACACTAGTCCATGTGAGACTAAAGTAGGGGTGTCACAATATCAGAGTAGTTGTCAGTCGGAAGTGTAGAGCTAAGTGCTATACAGGGACTAAGTGCTACACCGTGTGGATGCGGTGAGAGCCACCTCTAGAGCCCGTAGGAGCCACCTCTAGAGTCCACATCGCCTGACAGCGACACTCGGATGTGCCAATTGTCATGTCGTGACGTTTGTAAGGTGGGGTGATTGTGACACTCCCACTTTAGTCTCATATGGACTAGTGTGAAAAAATGTTATTGGTTTAAATAGAGAAAAACCCACGGTCTAAAAATAACTAGTGCTAGCATTTTGACAATGAATTTTAGCAAAAATCGAGTTATTCTTGGTGGGTCCCACAGCATGCACCCGCTAATGGGCCCTTGGACCTGGGGCGTGACAAGAGGAGGGGCAGATGTCAGTGTGGAGTTAGAGAGCGCACCGCCTCTTGACTCGACTCTGCGAGTGAGATAAAAAGTATCGCCTTTTTAGTCAGCCTTGAGAGTTGTCGGCTGAGATAGTGGGCCGTGTGTGGAGGCTTGTGAGCTTGATTTGATAGGTAGGTTGGCCATGTAAGTTGTTGGCCTATGGAGTCGGCCGCAGGAGTGGTTCGAGTCGTCTGGGCTCTGATCATGTCTGATCTGGCGTGGAACGGGATGTGTGTCGACTCCCAAGAAATTAAGATTAACACTTAGTTATTTGCAGGCTATAACACTATCCTAGAGTGTCTAGGGATTGTACCGTTTTGCTCCTAAAAAACGAGTCATTATTTTCTTCGATTAAGTTTCCGCTACATCAATGTAATCATAGTTTTTTGTGCTAATACATTTTGCATTAATGTTCTTTATTCACTGGGTGTCTCCTAATCAAATTGGCATGAATTTCTATTGCCAAAGTTCATTTTCTCTCTGTTTTTATTTATTTATTTAAAGAAACCGGATAGAATTGGTAATTTTGGGCCTTGTCACAATACGGCTAATGAAAGCCAGGGCCTTGAAGACGTTAATATATTTGCAGTTGGCATTACCCAGCGTACAGAGAGAATAATGGGCCGGACAGGTAGGGCATGTTAATGATGTTATCGTCCAAAATAGTAACAGATATGAAGAAAATATTTGTGTAAATATTTTTCATTAACGTAGTTTAGTTAGTTTTTATTTAAAAAATTGTTTAAATTTTTTCCTTTTCCTTTTTTTTTTGAGGAATGGAACGAAAGCTCTTTTCAAAAAAAATTGAATCATCTTATTTTTTTATTTCTAGTCAAATAATCATTAAAATTTCAATTTCATAATCAACTTTAAATAAATAAACCAATAGTATAAGTGTTTATATAGAACTACACGTAATTGTCGTACACTATAATCTAGTTTTTGTATACAAGTTAATTTCGTCGAAATTGAAACGGAGGAGTGTCGTTATGAAAAAAGTTAATTTATTAGATTACTTCTCCCTTAAGTCTGGATATTCGAAACTACCTAGTCTCACAAACCATTGAAATTACTATTTGGTCGCTCAATTCTTATATGTTGCTACTCTTGTTCGGAGGGATCAATTTGAAACAAATTAGGAGTGGGCTGGGGAGCCTAATTACATCAATTTCAATTATCCGAAAGTCTAAATTTGAACTGATCAGATTCTTGTCAAGTTGTGTCACCTGCAGATTCTTGTCAAGTTGTGTAGTTAATTGGGACTTGGGACTTGTCCGTTAGCAAAAAGTCTCAAAAGAGCCAAAGAGCTGAGAAGAAAGACGACATGTATATCTCTGTATCTTTGACCCATATGCTAAAGATTTGAACTGAGATTTGAACTTTTTTTATGCGGATTCTAACCTAATCCTAATAGTTTATGATGATATCAACATTATGAACTTTTTCCAGCTAATTTTACCGAAGCTCAGCTCATATATTGTTTTTAGACTAGTTGCAGCAAAAAAAAAACAAAGAGTTGCATTACATTGTACAAGAGTCTCTCCCTCCTGTCATTTAGTTTGTTTTATAGTTTCAAAGTCTTTGCCAATGCAAATGCTTTCATTTCAATTTAAGAAATAGATTTATATGCTACCTATACTAGGTTTGAACACAGCTAAGTATATATATATACAGCTAGATTGTGAGAGATCCGATGCTAATTTTGAATTTATCTTGTTGTAACAACCGACATATATACAGATAAACTTTCACCTAATTTTGATGCTCGATCGCCCGTTAATAATTAATTACTAAGATAACTTTGTTGGCAAGTAAAATGCAGTCAAAACAAGCTTCAGCACTGCAATTAATATATCCTAGGGACGACGCTGGGTTCATCACTTTCACACCTCAAATGAAAGTAAGTATTTTGGCTTATAATTTCGTTTATACCACACGTGCTGAGACTTTGAAACTATACTTCATGTATGAATATTAATATTTACTTAGATAGATAACTTTCATGCATGTAAACAAACACCCAAACTTATGAGATAGTTACAAATATTGAAAATGGTTGGCGAGTTTCTTAATCACGCCCAAAGTTTATTGGGGAGGGGTTGGGGGATGATGCAGGGTCAATAGCAAATATATATTTATCGTGATAATTCAGACCGTGTGAAGTCAAGACTCGATGTATAGAATCCCTTGTTATATCTGAATCATAAAAACTTGAGATAAAACCATATAGCCATGATTAATTCGAAGAGATTAACAAGAATCATAAAGGAGCGGAAGCTTATACCTGAATCCATTGCTTAAACTTGAGATGAGTTTTGATCTTCTAACCTTAGGGTTCTCTCTAGCCGAATTTCTCTCTCTAGATGGGGGTGAAGAGAATTAGAGAATGTAACCCTAGGTTAGGGACCATAACCCCTTATTTATAGGTGTTGTACATTTGCAATTTGGCCCCTCAACAAATCACAATTACAACCTGGTATCTGCACATATAACATCATGACTTATTTAAATACCCATTAACCCAACTTGATTGATCACTTTAGTGAGTTATCCTAAAAGATAGCAATACACATTGATTAATCATATGTGCCCACAATTAGATTTATTAGATTAAATCCAACAATCTCCCACTTGGGCACCATATGATTCCTTAAACTGTGTATAACCTTATGAGCTCAAAAATTGCTATCACTGAAATGGTATTTCCGAACAATCTCGTCCATTGACTATATCAATATAGGATCAAAGCGGCCTTCGTCACATTTATCGTGACTCGACCCATCAATGGTCACATATACCAATACAATCAAATGACATAGATCAATCATGGATGTGCAGCATGAAAATTACATGCAATGTGATCAGTACATGTCTATTTTCAACTGGTCCTCCTTAGTGAGGTCAAAACCAAACATAATGTAACAGAGTGTCTTAACTGAAAACTTTATTCTGATCAGACAATACAAACAAACATAAAGCACCACAAATACAAACTCCCACTAAAACATAATATCCTCAAATAATACCACACCCATATGAGCAGTATGCTCATGAAAGACCTTAGGTGGCAATCCCTTAGTAAGAGGATCAGCTATCATGGAGTTTGTCCCAATGTGCTCTATGGATATCTGTCCACTCTGTACCCTTTCTTTCACAACCAGGAACTTAATGTCAATATGTTTTGACTTAGTTGAGCTCCTGTTATTATTGGAATACATTACTGCAGATTTATTGTCACAATATAGCCTTAGTGGTCTTT